AAAATTAGGGAGTATGAATTAATGGAAAGAGTTATCAATAAGAAAATTAATTAAGGATGATAAGTATAATATTTAAAAATAATAATAAAAAATAAAACAAACGGGTCAACCCGTCAACCTGCGGGTTGACCATAACCCGACTCGTGACCCGTACGGGTTGATAATACAGGTTATCTATGGGTTGCGGGTTGAGATATATAAACCCTAACCCGTTTTTTAAGGGTCGGGTTAGGATCTGATTGACGGGTCAGGTGGATTTTTGCCAGATCTAGTGAGAAGAGCAAACTCATGGTACAATAATTAAATGGGCGCATGGCCCACAAATTGCAATCCTGAGGTTATGTAGGTGACTTCCTTTTTTTTTAAAAAAAAAGGGCACTGGATATAGGTTGTATTAGGTGATGTAATTATATATTTTTGCAATGACCAAAATAAATTATATATTTATGCACGCTAAAAGTCAAACGAGATGGGCGTTCGAGATAGTTTTGGTTACTGTTCATAATCCGCAGGGTGGAAATCATTGGAAGGCAAAGCCAAAGACAAAGATAAGAGATAAAAAAAAAAAAAAGAAAAAGAAAAGAAAAGAAAAGAAAAAAGGATCTTTTGACAAAGATTGTAAACTCAGAACCACTGATTTTGATAGAATTGACATGGGGATGGCTTTATTGTTCTGATGTCGTATGTATTGTAGGGTAGGAATTCCATCAGAAGATACGAAAGTGGACAGATTATTTGAGTTGGTACAAATTCGCCTTCTTTATTGGATAAGGAACGTAGCAGGGTTTGAGGAATTCTTCTTTTCATATTGGGTTTGTAATCCTGTTGCTTGTTTGAGAAAGGTACCAACAGCGGAACGAATTTGTTGTAGGATTTACTGGTTGAAATGATGTATCTGTAACCAATCTATAGGAAATTACTGTTTTGTACCACTTCTACTTCATAAGTTAATAAATATGTTTTTTGCCTTAAAAAAAAAAAAATTGCAAGTCTTTATCACATTATTGGAAATGTGGTAAGTTCTGGGTCTTATGCGCTCCTTCCAAGCGTAGCTTACCATAAACAAACCTAATTAAATTTCTCTTACACCGGTCCCCAAATATGTAAATGTTGGATTCCTCTTAATTTGATGTAGAATTAACAATCTAATGTATTATCAACTTTTTTTTTTTACATATTATTAAAAAAACATATATGAAGACTTTTTTTGGGGGGTAATGAAATTTATTAAAGATGAGCAGATGAGAGCACAATTATTACAATTTGAAACTCCCAGTTAATCAATATGTTTAAAATAGATACTAAGTTTCGCAAGTTAATTATTAAGTATATTTAATATTTTAATAATATCCAAAATTTAAGTGATGACATTGTCATATTAGAATTCCCCATCCTCTGCCTCAAGTTGTACTTGTTTAAAAAAAAAGGTTTAAAACAGAACTCTCTGCTTTATTACCTTTTTTGTTATAAAGATTTGCGCACGATATTGATTAGGCAGAAGGTGCAATTCAGCCCTTCTACTTATAATGTTGTGGCATGTTATCTCTTCTACTTCAAATCAATGTAATTTAGCCCCTCAACTACATGAAATTTGCAAATTAACCCTTTTAGTAAAGATGACATCATTTTCCCATTAAACCATTCATTGCCAGTTAAGATGGGATGACAAAGCAATGACTTGGACAAAAAATGCGACACGAAAATCCTTAAAATAACGAGTCTTTGCCTAGTCAAAAAATGCAACATGAAAATCCTTAAAGTGAAGAGTCATTGCTTAGTCATTGCCTAATTAGTGCTTAGTCACCCATCTTAGTGCCTAGTCATCCCATCTTAACAAGATAATGAAAATTTTAATGGAAAAATGATATCATCTTTACTAAAAGGGCTAATTTGTGAATTTCATGCAGCTGAGAGGCTAGTTTAAACTGATTTAAAGTAGAGGGACTGACATGCCACAACATTGTAAGTGCCAACATTGCAAGGGCTGAATTGCACTTCTACCTGCTGATTATAGTTTGCCTATTCCACAAAGTAAGTGCCAAAATTTCTTCTGACCCTTAATTTTTTTTCTTTTTAATTTCTGTTTCTTTAGTATTATAGAGTTTGTTATGATTCTTCTTAGGTGTTTATTTCTTTTCTTTTGCAGGAGGGAAGAACAGGAAACTGAAGATAGTAGGAAGCAGAACCCTATCAAGTTGAATGAGATTTTGGGTATAAAACTGCTTTTCTTCTTTCGAGCTTTGAATGATCCAGATGTTGTTAGTCCTAACTATACATTTTGGGGTTCAGCCCATATCTTAAAATTCTTTTGTGGGCTATTCGGGTTAGGGAGCATCATTGGCAGAAGCAGAACTACTACTTGGAACAGCAGTACTAGTTTTAACCATCAACAAAATAGTTATATCCTCCTATCAAAGACCAAGACGAAAACTCAGCACTTGATAATTAATGTCTTTTCTCGTTCCAAATGCTGCCATAAATATGTATATTTGCGGGCAGATTTTGGGCTTGCGAGATTTTTTTCGGAGCTAAGAATGCCAAATGAAAGTAACTCGGTTGGAGTGAGGGGATCCAAATATATAATCCTTTATGATTTCAATCTTTTTCCATATTTCCTTGGCATTTTTTTGTTCAATCTAATCTCTTGGTTTACGCCAATGGCAGAGTATGGCGTGTGAAGTGAGGTTACAATGCAGGGGGATGTATACAGTGTAGAATAGAGAAATCGTGCTTCAAACACACCAAATACAATCCAACACTGCACTTCAGCTTTCCTTGCCTTAAGAGCAAAAAAGAAAAGATAAGATTCATAAGAACAACAGAACACTTTCTACTTATTGCAAAACTAAATATGTTTTTTTTATCATCTGACCCAGGCGTTCGACTAGTTACACCGGTAGTTTGCTTGGTCTAGTAGAAGATTGTTCCTGATCAGATGCGGCTCAGTGAGAACGGTACTAATGCCCATCCGGTCTTGAGGCGACTCCATGGAACATGCCACAACAATCCTAATCAAAGAGACCAGACAGTTCATCGTGTTGCTACTACTTGCTGCCCGTGCATAATCCGTCTGTTAATACTGGCTGCTTCCGCTTCGTGTAGCTGCTTTGGGTCTGCAATCTGCACAACTTGATTGGGTAAGGCCATTTTGGCACAATTATGAAGGTTAAGGTCCCTTTCAAAGATATTGTCTGCGGGTCCCTTTTCTGTCATCATTTCAAACACTAGGATTACACAACTAATTTTACCAAAAAAAAAAAAGGATTACATAACTGCAAAACTTCTTATTTACATTATGTATATATTTTTTTTGGTAATTAACATATTTTATAAATTTTATATTTGATCAATACTTTTTATAATTTAAAATTTATAAAAAAATTTTAAATTATTAACAGAATTAATGTATAAATAGGGAGTTTGACTATTAATTTTTAAGTTTTTTTTAATAAATTTTAAATTGTAAAAAGTGTTAATTAAGAGTAAAATTTTTTAAGATGGTAACCACAAAAAAATGTACAAAATAAAAATAGGGGGGTTTGGCCGTTTTACTGATCTTAAAACTATTAATAAAGAACGATAGAAATGTTGGTAACTGGATTATTTTTTCATTAATTCTAATTAGCTGTCTATGGTAAAATACAAATAGATGACTCATCAACCCAAAGTTACGTCCTAATAAACAAGTGTATCATGCTGAAAGTTAAGTTTTAGAGAAAGAACTTAAAGAAATTAATTTTTTGAGGTATATTAAATTAATATCGAAAGTATGCTTTTATGATTGCTTGAAAAATTAATTGTAAAAATTAATTAATCTGTGTCTTTAAGGTATTGATTAAAAGTGTAATTAATATAATTTTTTATAATTAATTTATATAAAAATAATAAGAATTGACTTTAAATTAATTAATTAAAATTATTTATATGTGATGTAAGTAATATTAAAATAAATATTAATTTATATAATTTTATATAAATTAATTTAAAAATTATATTTAGCACTTTTTTAATTTATATTGTAAAATACGTATCACACAAACCCATAAATAAATAAATAAAAACTCATCGTGGCATTCACGTCTATCTTGACAACATGCATCATTGAAAGGGTTGAAAACTGAGTGGATTAGATGGAAACCACCATATCTTGAATTAAGTCCACTGAAGCCAGTAAGAAATATCATCAGGGGACATCGCGGACAACGAAGAAAATCACAAATCATGACCTCTAGTCCACCATTTCTGTACAAAGCATGGAAAAATCGGCCACGTAGCAGAGAATGGAGCCTCCCTTGGTTGTGGCCTTCACCGAATTGAGCCTTCCCCGTGGTCAATTGATGGATTTGAGGAGAATCCACTCTGTGATCGCCAACTTGGCCCTCATCGGGCTATAAAAGGAGGGAGACGGAAGAAACACTTTGACTTTTGTGCGTTTTGTTCATTTTAATTTGACAAATTTTGTTTTCTGTCCTTTCTCTTCTGAACTTCTGATAATTTGGTCCCTTTTCTTTTCCAAATTTTCATTTTAGTCCCCATTTTAGTCTCAGAAAAAAAACCACAATAAAGTTTTTTGAGTTTTCAATTGAGTCGAAAATGGTCGTAAGAAAATCCTTAATTAATCCCTCCTTTAGACATAATATCCAGAGTTTTGAAATGATTAATTGTAAAAAATTGAATCTTTTCAATAAATTACAAATTAAAGAAAACTTATTTAAATTTAAATTTTAAGATTTTGATTTTCAAAAATCAATCAATTTTAAAAAATATGTTTAATTAAGAAATTAATTCAAAGTTCATAAATTAAGAAAATCAGTGTTTTACACTAAGCTTGCTCTTTTATGACCTTTTTCTTCTTTTTTGCGCAAAAGTTGTAAAAACACTAGCTAATAACAATAATATATAATAATAATAATGATAATAAGCTGTAAAACATGAAATGATGAAATGGGAATATGGGATGATTCCTTTCCCATTATAAGCAATCCTTTTGGTGCCAAAGCTCCAGCTAAAAAAAAAAAATTCCAGCAATAATTAAAATTACCACTGCGATCAGAAAAAATAACAGTTTCTAGTAGGCCAGTGAAAAGGTCAATGCAATTATAGAAAGCAAAAAAGGGATGCCAATTAATCAATTGCAGAGCAAAAACATTAAGGAATTGATTATCCTTGACATTAATGACTTACTAAAAGAAGTGATAAGTCAATCAACAAAATGTGGTATCTTCCTCCTGACCTGTAAATTACAGAGACATCTAAGTGCCTGTTTTGGCCAATGGGATATTTAGAACTTGCATGGCTAAGTCTTTGGACCTACATTCTATCAGCAAGCCACTTGTTTAGACTTGATGTTAACTTTAAGGTAAACAAAGATCTCACAGTATCCACAGACTTTATGAATCTCTAATATTGGTCCCATGAATTTTCAAACAGACATGGATTAGAGATGATGGTTTCAATTGAAAATTTGCCAATACTCATTTCTACC